AAAACACTATCCTGAGTGAGGTAACCCAGACCTAAAACGATGAATATGGTATGTACTCACTCATAAGTGGATACTAGCTATAAACAAAGGATATTGAGCCTCAGAATATTTTTTAAAAATTAAGATTGAAAGCAAGCAGAGTAGTTTCTCTGATCAGAATGGAAAGAAATCAGTAGCAAAATTAGCAAATTTATAAATATGTGAAAATTATACAGTAAATTCTTAACCAATGGGTTAAAAAAAGACAAATTATAAAAAATTAAGACATGAACAGAAATGAAAGCACAATGTACCAAAACTTACAGGATATAGAAACAAACATGCTCAAAAAGAAATAAATATTGCATTTTTTTAAAAAAAAAAGGCTCTTAAATCATTAACACAAGAAGGCTTTAAGGTGGGATGGAGAACTAGATCATCAGTCAAGAGCATGTGCTGCTCTTGCAGAGGACCCAGGTTTGGTTCCAGCACCTAGATGATGGCTCAAAACCATTCATTACTCCAGTTCCTGCAACTCCAATGCCGTGATGCCCTTTTCTGACCTCTGTGGGTGTGATGCACTCCCACACATAAAAAATAAAAGACAAGCACGATCAGCAGGTAGGACTTCTGCGGGCAGGTTGCTCTACCACCCCCACCACACATCGGACTCTGTAACCTACAAGTTCCACTCAGGCCCTCAAACCCACAGAACCCATCCCCCAAACAGCCCTTCCTCATGCATCAGCAGCCCCCAAGGCATAGGCACCACAAGCACAGATTGGAGGAAGAGGTGGATGATTGGTCTCCAGGAGGAGTTGACAACAGGAAATAATCAAATTGAGGACTGAAATCAATAAAAAAGAAACAAAGAAAACAATACAAAGAATCAATGAAACAAAGAGTTGGTTCTTCTAGAAAATCAACAAGAAAAACAAATTCTTATCCAAACTAACCAAAAGACAGAGAGAATATGCAAATTAATAAAATCAGAAATGAAAAGGGGGACATAACAACAGACGTTGAGGAAATTCAGAGAATCATTAGGGCATACTTCAAAAACCCGTGTTACACAAAACTGGAAACTCTAAAACAAATGGATAATTTTCTGGATAGGTATCACATACCAAAATTAAATCAAGACCAGATTTGAATAGACCTATAACCCCTATGGATTTAAAAGCAGTCATGAAAAGTCTCCCAACCAAAAAAAGCCAAGGGTCAGATGGTTTCAGCACAGAATTCCACCAGATTCTCAAAGAAGAGCTAATGTCTATACTCCTCAAATTGTTCCACACAATAGAAACAGAAAGAACCTTGCCAAACTCTTTTTATGAGGCTATAATTTACCCTGTTATCCAAGTCACACAAAGATACAGCAGAGAAAGAGAATTACAGACCACTCTCCCTCATGAACATTGATGTAAAATTACTCAATAAAATACTGGCAAACCAAATCCAAGAACTCATAAAAAATTATCCACTATGATCAAGTAGGTTTCATTCCAGAGATGCAGCAATAGCTCAACATACAAAATTCTGTCAATGTAATCCAACATATAAACAAATTGAAAGAAAAGAAACCACATGAGTAGGTAGGAGGTAGAGGGAGGGAGAGGGAAATGTGGTTGGTATGTAAAAGGAATAAAAAATTAAATAAAAATAAACAGAAATCAGATAAATGGAAAGAATGATTTAATTCACTAGAAAAAGAATAGACTGAACTCAAAGCTAGCAGTTGAATGAAAATAAGGATTATGGTAGAGATAAAAGCAATTTTTTATAAAGCAATCAAGAGTCAACCATAATTGATTCTTTAAAAACCATCAACAATTTTTGAAAAAAAATCTTTAGCTATCGTAACTGTGGCAAGGGAAGGAGAGGAGGGAGGGAGGGATGAGGGAGAGACAGAGAAAGAATGAACTGGGTGCATAGAGGTAAAAAATCAGAACAAAGTGAGAAATCGCCATCAACATTCAAGACATTTCAAAGGGTTATGACAATAGTATGAGTTACTGTATACCAATAAGTTTGGTAAATTGGATGAAATAAAACCACATCTGAATGGTCCTTGAAAAAAATGCAGAGATTAGATTAGTAACCAAAACCCTCTAACAAAGAAAGTTCAAGACCTTGAGCTGAAGAGATGGCATAGCAGTTAAAAGCACTTTCTGGCCCGGTAGTGGTGTCACACGCCTTTAATCCCAGCACTGGGGATCTCTGTGAGTTCAAGGCCAGCCTGGTCTACAGAGTGAGTGCCAGGACTGGCTCTACAGCTACTGAGAAACCCTGTCTCAAAAAAACCAAACACACACACACACACACACACACACACACACACACAAAACACTTGCTGCTTTTACAAAGAACATAAGTTGCTTCCCAGTATACACATGCTAGTTTCCTGTCTATAATTCCAACTCTAGGAGATCCCATACCCTCTTCTGACTTTCATACATACCAGGTATTCACGTGTAGCACACACATACACGAAGGCAAACACTTATATACATAAAATAAAAACAAATATATCTTGGAAGGGGGAGCACTGATGAAGTGTACCAAACAGTTAAAAATGAATTAACAATCTTTCTTAAATTCTTCATAAACTTATTGGAAATACTTCCTAACTTACTCCATGAAACCAACATTACCCTGATAGTAAAGTCAAAAGACATATGAAAATAAGCTAAAAACCATTATCTCCTATGAATATAGTGTAACATGAGAGGGCCTGCTTGTTCGGATTTCTGTCCTGCCTGGCCCCCCACAGCCAGCAAGCCCAAAGAAAACTATACAAAGATCTCTATTATTTATAAAGCTGATTGGCCCATTAGGTCAGGCTTCTTACTGGCTAACTCTCACATCTTGATTAACCCATTTTTCTGATCTATGTTAGCCATGTGGCTCTGTACCTTTTTCAGTGGGGCAGCTCACATCCTGCTGCTTCGGTGATCTGGGCAGGAGTGGGAGGAATCAACTTCCTCTTTCCCAGAATTCTCCTGCTCTCCTTGCATCATTTCCACTTCCTGTCTGGTTTTCCCGCCTACACCTCCTGCCTGGCCAATCAGCATTTATTTAAAACATGATTGACAGAATACAGACAATTCTCCCGCACCAACATAGAACTTAAAATCTTAAGAAAATGTCAGCATACCAAATCCAACAACATTTTAGGAAGAATCACACCACAACCAAACAGAATTTATTTCAATGATACAAGGGTAAATGAAGATAGAAAATTAGTCCATGTGATGAAGATAGAAAATTAATCAATGTATTTTAAGACATGAACAGAATGAAAGAACACACACACACACACAAACTCACTCCAGTTGACATAAGAAAAACATTTAACCAAATACAACATCTTTTATGTGAAAATTACGTAAAAAACTATGAGTAAAAGGCAACTTCCTCAGCATGAGAAAGGGGAAAACCTGCAGCTAACATGAAACTCAAAGACAAAATATTCAACACTGTTTTAAGAACTGCAACAAAATAACTGCACCCACTTTTGATACATGTTAACTCTAAAGAGGTCATAAACCTAAATGTAACAACTAAAAATTTTAACATTCTTAGAAGAAGACACAGGGAAATCTTCATGATCATGAGTTTGGCAATGGATTACAAAAGCACATATAGCAAATATATATTTTTTGAACAAAATTTAAAACTTTTGTATATCAAAGTGCGCTACCAAGAAAGGATTATTTGGCAATACAACCAAGTAACCTTATTCATACTGATCAGGTTATACTTAGGAATATATATGAGTATACATATGTGCATGTAACAGCAATTAGTGAAAAAGAGGCCAAGAAATTGAAGAGTGGGGAGGGATACATGTGAGGGTTTGGAAAGAGGGAAGGGAAGGGAAGGGAAGGGAGGGAAAGGGAAGGAAGAAATGCTGTAATTACATTATAATTTCAAAACTAAAAAATACAAAGTGAAAAGACAAACTAAAGAAAGGGGAATATAGTTTCAATTCATATATGTGGTAGGGTACTTATATCTAGAGAGAACCCTTACAACTCAGTAATAAGAAGATAACTGATATTTAGAACTGGCAAAGGTTCTATATAGATATTTCTCCAAATGTTTACAAATGGCTGGTAGATTAAAAGACTGAACATTATTAGAGAAACGTCAGTCAAAACTAGAATTAGATATTACTTCAAATACATTAGGAAAGCCATCACCAAATTAAATAATATATATCAAAAAGTGGAGTAGGTAGAACCCTTATATATAGCTGATAGAAACGTAAAACTGTTCAACTGCTTGCAGAAAAACTTGAGTAGTTATTCAAAAACTTAGACATAGAGTTGGCTATATAACCGCAGAATTCCTCTCCTAGGTATATACACAACCAAGTGAATGGGGACATGTCCAGAAAAAAATTGTATGTGAATTTGATAGCAGCATTATTTATAGGAGCCAAAAGGTATAAAATATTCAAATATCAATGTGCTGAGAAATCAGTAAATAAATGTGTAGTATACAATGAAATATTATGCAGCCATAAAAAGAAATGATGTATTGATATGTGCTCCAACATGGGCAAATATTAGAAACACTGTGTTTAGTGAAAGAAAAAAACATTAAAAAAACAATATACTACAGTTTCATTCATATATATGAAATATCTGGAATAGGCAAATCAGCAGAGCCTGAAAATGGAACAGTAGCTATTTAGGGGAAAGGAATGAATAATAGGTGGAAATGATGAAAATATTCTGTAATTAGTGCTAATACGTATACAACCCTGCAACTACATTAAAATTGCTGAGCCATATACTTTTAAATAACAAAATGTACAGTTTGTGCACTCTTCTCAGAAAATGAAAAGGGAGATGCTGCAGGCACCCGAGGAGACATCTATATTTTAGGTTAAACAAAGAGAGTGACTGCCACACAATGTAAACCATTTCCCATGGAAATACATGTTAACAACATTTTCATCCATGCATCTGATAGATGTGAACACGAACCAGAGCAGCTTCTGTTGAGGTTACCTGGTTTTTCTTGAAGGCCCGAAGAAGTAAATCAATGTCAGTAAACGTGAGAGGAAACTGCAGTCGAGGACCATCGTAAGAGTCAGGCACTTCTATCAACCCCAAACATTCCTGTCTATCCTTGTTTTCCTGCATAGGGGTTTCAAAGAGTCGACTTACTAATGCTGGAAAGGAAAGATAAAGAGATATCAGATGGGGTTTCAGCAGTCGAATGCCTCAAAAACACTCTTAAATATCTGTGCAAGACACTATACTGCTATGAATGCCGACAGAGCGCACATAAAACTATGAGGAATATCTAATTCTGAAGTTGGTATCCGCCATCATCCCTTTCTGGAACTGTGCTTCATCAAAGCAGTGGGTTCATAAGCAATGGGGAGAAGACCACGAAGCACATGAAAATCTGGTCAGCCAAGGTATTTTGATGTTCTGAAATCGAAGTCTGATTCTTTGGTTCACTCTTACTTACCAGATCCTTACAAGCAAGGCTGAAAGTATGAACAATGCGCTGCATTTGGTTCAAGCAGCTGCTGCTATTCATGATCTACACGAAATTAAACCGCAACATTCAATTTTCCCCTTGTTAAATACTTCAGAGGATTTTACTTAGCTTTAATTGATTTGTTTCTCTCTAGGTACAATGTTTCTTCTGTGGTTTTCTTTTCTTCTTGGGAACAAAGCAGATAAAACTTAAATGACAAACCATAGGCAAAAATAACCAAAGGCCACCCCCTCTCTCTTAGATATTTCTGTATGGTAATTGTCTGCCAGCATTGCCCATTTACTAAGGCAATTTAGTATGGCTGAGACCCACAATCATTTCTTGCCAAGTTGCCTATGAAACAGGCCCCTGAACAGAAACCTAGACAATTCAGGCAGAGAAAGGTGCAAGAGAATGTGATAGAGTAGCTAGCTACAAAGTGACCTCAATATTGCATCCTAACTTCTATTCATGCTTCTTACAGTGTAATCTCCATCAAAAGTTATCTTTCCCTTGCTTTCGAGATGAGTTAGGCTAATTACTTTAAACTATTCTGAAAAATGTGGTTCAAGAGCTACCTACCAGCTCCAAGTCCAGGTCTCAAGAGGCCTTATAAGATTCCATGCTCTCTGTTCGGGAACATAGCCATTTCCACTCAGCCCAAGCTTTCCTACCGAAAGGCCATGATTAAATGGAACAGAGCAGCTAAACCTAGCCAAGGATGTCCTAGATGAGCTAACAGCCAGCAGATCTCTAGACACATCAATAAACTCCAGCCAATATTAAAAAAATCTGTCAAATTGACTGTGCCAATGCCAGAAGTGTTCAGCTAAGTCATAGACTTGCTAGGAAAAAAACCCACATTTTTTCCTATGTCACTAAGATATTGTGGCTCCTTTGCAGTATTATAACCACATGTTTGTTATTAAGGCTATCACCCTAAGTTCTCTGCAAAAAACAAAAAACAAAAAAACAAAACCATATCTTTAAGTTGCTCACCTAGAAAAGATAGGATGCTATCTGATGTAGACAGAGTATATGTTTTCCATCATCAATTATGATGAGCAGTAAGTCAAGAAGTAAATTTGAAAACTTGTTCTAAACTAGGAAATAACATTTAACAATTTCATTAAAATACATTCTAAATTGTTATGTAATCCCAGTATAATTTGGTGATAGTAGATAATATTTTATAAAAAGTGGAACTGAGGTATAATAGCATCTGTATTCAAGGTGGTCAGCAGACATCATTTTTCTCCTTTGATTTTGGTCTGATATTTAAGAAAAACTGAATTTTTCAATTTATGCTAGAAAACAGAAATGCAGGACATCCTGTTTAATTTGATTTCAGATTCATCATGTAGGCAGTGAAGTCTAGTCTCCTTAGCTATCCTAATGATCACACCATCCATTTTTATTTGGGAATTGTCCTTCTGCAAAGGAAAGATGAAATATCAGGCAACTCTTAGGAATATGACACCCCTGTCCACAGAAACCCCAACAGTTTCACTGCATCAGCTAACAGAGACAAAGTTTTTGTTATAGACTCTAAGAAAGAAAGCGAACATGGAGCACATGTGATTGGAACTGAGGGACCTTGTGTTTTAGGTGAGGTATATTTATGGCATGACTGTAGTGTTCATGGAAAAGATTGTATAACTTTTGAAATGCACATGACTAAAACACGGATGCTATCAGAAAGGAGAAAGAAGCTGAGCATATAGATTTGTATATGCCAATACCCCCCACATGCAGCCCCTTTTTAAGTCTTCAGAAGCTTGGCAGCCTGGGGAGTCACTTTCTGTTGTCTCCATCTTCAGTGTATCCCTCTCTTTAGGCTTTGTAATACAATAAAACATGGCCAAAGACATCTCTAATTTAAAACATTATCCCTGGATCACATATCTGCTTATATGGACATTTATTGCTCCTAGTATTTTTTCTACCCTGGGACAATCCATTCTTCTTTATCTCTATGTTTTGGATAATTTATCTTCATCCTTCAAAACTCAGCAGGCTTCCCAGGTCGGCTCCCAAACTCTACTGTTTCAATAACAAAATTGATGATGATGATGACCACGACAATGCCAAGAAGACAATAGATAGCTCTTACTTACTGAAGGCTTGCTATGCATCAGGCAGTGTTATAAGAAGGTGAGGATTGCTATTTTCTCATTAAATACATTGATATCGATAAATAAGAAACTACATCAACAATAAAGACTGTTGATTGTGCACTAACCAAAAGAATTAATTTTAATAGATCACGAAAAATGCTAACTTTTTTAATTTAGGAAAATATTCTATTTTCCTGGTCACTGCCTTCACACATGCTGCCATTTCTCCCCTTCCCATTGGCTAGTAATAAATACATTCTATCAATGCTAGCCAGTGATGACAACTCAAGTTCAATTATTTTAAGAACAAAACAAAATATTCTTTTAAAATCAATAGCTTAGTATAGTCCTTTCTTCCAGATATTTAATGACCCTTATTTCATAAAAAGTTTAATGATAAATTAATGCAAATTCCACGTCTCTAAGTCAAATCTTCAGTAAAACTATGCAATATGAAATATTTGAGATTAATTTATTTTAATTTTGGTTTGTGTATATGAATTTCTGCCTGCACTTATATTTTTGCATCACATATATATCTGGTATCCACAGAGGCAAGAAGACGACATTGGACTCCCTGGCATTGGAGTTACTGAAGATTGTGAGCTGCCATGTAGGCACTAGGAACTGAACCTGGGCCCTTTGCAAGAGCAGCAAATGCTCTTCACTGTTGAGCTATTTCTCCAGCCCCAATATCAAGTTTTAATCTATATTACATCATTATCCTTCTGTTGGGTTTTTGGCAAGATGAAAATTAGTAACAGAGAGTCTCTTCTAATAACTAGTGTGTATCATGTATGAAAACTAAGCCTTAAATTTATCCCTCTGGCTGTCCTGGAACTCACTTTCTAGACCAGGCTGGCCTTGAACTCATGGAGATCCACCTTCCTCTGCCTCCTGAGTGCTGGGATTAAAGGCATACACCATCGCTGCCTCACATACTTTAACATTTCTAATGCATATATTGTCTTTGTGGCCCATAACTAATGAACAATAATTCAATGGATGCAAGCAATATATGAAAATTCATACAACATTTAATTGGAATTAATTCTTAGTTATTTGATTTATAACTTTGTAAACTCGGATCTAAACTAATTAAATATAATAAAATATTAACACAAACAAATGTTACCTCTACAAGTTGTTATAAGAAAATAACTTTTAAATCCTTGCCTTCACCCATGCTGCCATTTCTCTTTCCCACTAGCTAATAAAAAGTAAATTGCATCACTGCCAGTGATTAAAATTGAATAAAAGATCTTTTCTTCCATCTGAAGAGGGAAAAAGGTATACTTTCGGGAAAAATTTAAGTCCATAATTTTTGCACACAGATAATATCAGCTTATATCACCCACACATTACTTTGAAAAAAACCCCACATCTTTCTGAACAAGGAAAAGCATCATTTGGCAACATTTATAGTTGTTTCATTTCCTAATTATAAGTCTATGTCAAAATCATTAGTGTCCATATACTAAATTCAATAGATGCCAAATGACAGCTAATAAAGTTAACCTTAAATCTGGATCAAAATCATTAGTGTTCATATATTAAATTCAATGGATACCAAAATGATTGTTAATACAGTTAACTATCAATTTTTGATTTAAAAAACATGAAATGGAAGGATATATTCTTGACATAAATTTTAAATTAAATAAATGAGTGTATTGGTTTCCATTAAAACAACAAAAAATGCTACCTACTTTCATTTGTTTTATGCAATAAGACATGAAGCTGAAACAAGAAGAGTTTAACTATTATGCCAAAATATATAATAATAAAATCTGTTGATGTGATTAAAATATAAACTCAAGAAAAACTCCAAAATCTGATAAGGGAATTAAATACAATACAGAGATTAATCTCATAGGCTTGAATCACATTTTTATCACTGATGAGATAAATAACCTTGGAATGGTACCCTCAGACCCTCAAATTCTTATAAAAGGTAAATAATTAATACTAGCAACTTTTTTAGTTTGTCATGAATACTAAATGAAATGATATAAATTATTGAAACACATGGTACATGGTAAAGTTTACTGAAAAACAATAATAATATACGAGCTACTAATAATATTCAGCAAAAGCACAAGATGAGATATAAATATAAGTATTTAATGGGATATTCCAAATAAGTAATGGGAAGATAACATGCTGGAAAATATTCTATTCACCATAGTAACAAAAAATTAAAATATTCTAGTACCACAAAAGTTAAAAATATAAATACATATATACATACGTGTATCCCTAAAGTATATATATATGTGTGTGTGTATGTATGTATATATGTATGTATGTATGTAAACTATGCGGCCTCAGGGGATACTTTGGCTGATGGTGAGTCAAAAGAAAAGTCTAAACAACATTTGCACATGACTCGGCCTACTCCCACCAGTCTCTGTATAAATCTAAGGCAACTTTGCCTTCTTCTTTTTTTTTTTTTTTTTTGATTGTAGAAGGCATTGTTGTAAAATGCAGACTGGGAACTTGTATGTGCACTCTACTCTCTAGCAAGTCTATGAATCTGTTTTAGCTCCGCAAGTAGAAGAACGTGGACATAAGCTGGTAGAAGTGAGTTTTGCATAAGATGCAGTGTGTTTGCCAGCACGAACACTACATTAGGACCCTTCTTTCGAAATCAAAATGTCTTGAGATACTATGCACTTCAAAAAAATCAATCACTAACCTGGGCTCTATATCTGGGAATGCTAAATGGCTTTCTGTCTGCTAAAAGATTTAATTAAACAGGCCAAGGTGGAGGCTGTCTAGAATCCTCCCACCAAAGCATGAACAATCAACTTACAAAGAACATGCATAAAGGCATATGCCTGTCATTCCAGTGCTCAATATGCTGAGGCAGGATGATTATGAGATCAAAGCCAGTTTGATCTACATAGATAAAGTCACCTTACACATACTTAAATTCTGTCTCTGGCAATGAAAGGGAGAAAGGAGAAGGTGAAGAGGAGAGGAGAGGGAGGCAGGAGGATGGAGAAGGAGGGAGTGTAGAGAAGAATGTGTATGTTCGCCAAAAGGGACATGTACATAAATAAATAAATACAGCAGCACAACTGTACTGCCACACTGAAAACAACCCAAGCACACGTAAACAATAGGATGAATAAACTATAGTGCATTGGTAAAATGGACTGCTATCCAACAACAGGAGTGACTAAATTACAATAACATGAATGATCTCACAAGTATAATGCTGAGCAAGATAAGCTAGATTCAAGGTCTATTCTGGAAGTTTCTACTAATACAAATAAATTTTAAAAACAAGCATAATTAACGAACTTAAGGCATAGACGTTCAAAACTAGCTCCATAGTGCAGTAGACATTGGGTTGCAGCTAGAAGAGGCAGAAGGGAGGCTTCTGTGCCTCCAATAATGGTTTGAGGGTATATTTTTGGTTTTGAGACAAGCTCTCCCGTAGCAAGGATGACCTTGTATTTCTGACTTCCTCCTTAAAAGCAGAGACTGCAAGCGTGTGTCACTGTGTTTGCTTTATGCAGTGCTGGGGACTGAGCCCAGGGCCCCTGCATGCTAGGCAAGCACTCTACCAACCTAGCTCCATCCCAGCCATTCTGCTTTATTTCTTGTTCTGAGTACCTGTTTTCTGGGCATGTTTTCTTTGAGAGAATTTCAGTTATATATTATTTGTATACTTTCCTATAACGTATTTCATATTCCAAGGAAAACACTGTTCCCTTCTTTGAGAAGAAACATTCTGTTATATTTTTAAATCATCTGCAAAGTTTTTTTCAAAATGCAGATTTTGAAAAATCGAGAATCTGAATAAATATCTCTGAGCTGTAACCCAGCCATCTGTGGTTCTAAAACCCATATAAGCAACTCTGATGAAGTGAGTCTAGATTGAAATAGTAGATAATTAGCAGAGAGAGACATGTTTCATTTCATCATTATTGTATTTCTCCCCCAAACATTTTTGACCGAGAACACGAAGCACAAACGACTGTCTTTAAACTGCAGCTACCTAAAATGGAGAGAATGACAACGCACCCACTTCCACGCGGTTCCCACTCCTCAGGTTTGACTATTCTACCACTCAGAAAGCCTCTATGGATCCTTAAATGCTTTCTTTAGTTTCATACATATGTCCTTGACTCGAACCATGCCACTACCACTCTCCTCATCCCTTTAAAGAGCATTTAAAGGTTGGGAAGATGGCTAAGTGGGTAAAGTGCCTGCTGCCAAGTCTGATGACCTGAGTTTAATTCCTAAGATCCACACGGTAGAGAAAACCAAATCCTGCAAGTTGTCATCTGACCTCCACACACATACCAAGGCACATGTGTGAATGATCTCTCTCTCTCTCTCTCTCTCTCTCTCTCTCTCTCTCTCTCTCTCTGTATGTGTGTGTATGTGTGTGTTAAGAAAATTTTAGAAAAAAAATCATTTATCAGATTAATTAAAGATGCTCTTAGGGGGTTAGGCAGATGGCTCAGTGCGTAAGAACACTTCCGATGCAAGTTTGAGGACCTAAGTGTGACCACTACAGTCCCACATAAAAAGTCAGGTGTAGCTGCACACTTCTGTGACTCCATCACTGGTAGAAGCCAGAAATAAGAGACTTGCTGGCCAGTCAGCTTACTTGAAATATGGTGAATTCCACGCTCAATGAGAGACTCTGTGTTAAAGGGATAAGGTAGAGAGAGTGACCAAGCAGGTAACCAGACATCCTCTGTTGGCCTCTGAATGCGCGTGTGCACGCTCACACACACACACACACGTACACACGTACACACACACACACACACACACACGTACACACACAGGCACATGTGCACATGCATATACAGAGTAGGTCTCCTAAAAACTTTGCACATTGTTAGAATCGAAAATGGTTTACCCAAGGTGGTTTTCCTTCTTAACAGCTTTTGGGTTTGACATCTACTTTGAAAGTAATAGACAGATTTTATTTATCATGAGAAATATATGTCTTATGAATAATTATAATTTTAAACTCCTATACTGCCTGTATCAATTCAAAATGTTATATAGTTTATAGATAAATAGATAATATAAACACATCACAGAAAGTACCTTAGTCTAGCTTATGGTATTATAACAGAATATCACAAACTAAACTAAATATCATAAACTGGATAATTTAAAGCAAACACAAGTTTATGAATAGGCCTAGTTGTTTTTGGATTCCTTTAAATTCCTGTTCAGAAAAAAATTAAACTAAAATGAGTTCTCATGTACCTTAAGTCTGAAAATATTGCCAATTTTTAAAGGTAATTATAAAAACAATTAGCATATACTATAGATTTAAATTTTTTTAAGTATAAATGAGAAATAAAAGAAAAATCACCACGGTCTCCATACCAGAACCAAATTATTTGTCTGCAGGTTCTAAAGTCTTGGAAATCTAAGATTAAGGAGAAATGTTTGGTGAGGACTTTGTGCTCTAAGTTATAACATGACTGAAAACATGACAGCAAAAGAACAGGTGCAGGGAAGAGGAATGAGGGATCATACTTTATAAGGTCACCATTGTTCAAATAATTAATCCAGTATGGGGGAAGGGTCTCTAACTTAAACAGCTCTTACGGATCCCACTTTCAACATGTTGCATGAGCTTGGGGGAAAGATTGAAGACACAGCAGACATACTGAGTGGAGAGAGGGAAAAACATTGCATTTAATCTACCATTTTCACCTAGACATCACTGCATGCAATACTCAAAATACTTGGATTCCTTAGCATAAAACTTCTGTAGGTAAAACACAAGATCCTCATTACTAAATTTCTGTTGTGTATTAACGGATTGTGGTTCAAGACAAAATATTTAACCAAGGAATGCTGAATTTTTTTTTTTTTAATTAAAGGCTGACTTAGCAAATTCCATCCAGATGGGGAATAAAATAAAGGTGAGCAAAGTTTATTTGCTACGTGTCACCCGGACAAGAAAGGGGAGCATCTTGAATTGCATAGCATCTCTTATCTTCATTTACATTTTAATGAAGACAATTCAATATATAAAACAGCTTTTCAAAAGACTACACTTTCGAAGTGAAACGATTGCTTGGCAGTTACGAGAACATACTATTCTTGCAGAAGACCTGAGTTCGATTCCCAGCACCCACAATGCATGGCTCATAACCTCCTGTAACTCCAGCTCCAGAGAGTCTGATGTCCTCTTTTGGCTCCCTTGAACTCTGGACTCACCTGCACAAACACATACCTACCTGCCCACCCACTCACCACCCCACACACCTAATTTAAAAATAAAAATGAATAAAACCTTAACAGGCTAAAACTTTTTTTTTTGCTTACCTGAATCTTCACTATGTGTCTTTGTGTAGTTTTCCAACATGAAGGAAAAAAAGTCAGACAGCTGAACAAGATAAAAATGATATAAATTATTAATAAGGTCTAAGGAGCCACTGCAGCAAATAGCGAACTTCCATGCAAGTCCCTTATTCTCCTGTGGTACTCCTCTTCCTGCTACAGCACATGCCAAGAGTCACAGATGGGCAGCACCACACTGAGCTGCATAGAAATTATATATTCATTCCTCCTGGGAAGCTGCCCATACATAACTGGCTAAAGCAAAAGTGTAACAACCCAGTCTTCCACCTCCTTGCCATGCATGGGACAAATGATAATGTATTTCACATTTAAACGCTTCTATGGGATCGGCTGAAGTTAGACTTGTCCAGAAGGTATAGTTCTTCCTGACTTCTTTGTTCCTTATGGTCTCCTCTTTATCTCTTTGGTATCGAAATTAATACTGTTTAAATTGACAGCCTACATGGGTTTGGGGAGATTGCCCAGTGGCTAAGAGCACTGACTGTTTTCTCAGAGAAACAGAGTTCAATGCTCAGCATCCACATAGCAAGCAGCTTATAACTACCTGTGACTCCAGGCTCAGGGGATGCAATGCTCTCTTTTGGCCTCCATGGGCACTGAACACACAAGGTGAACAGACATACATGAAAGCAACACACACACACACACACACACACACACACACACACCAAAATACCTTTAAAAAGACAGCCAACTCTATGAGGTCCTAATCAAAGCAAAGGGAACACTGAATGCCCTATGTCTTTTGCTGTTGTTGTTGGGATTTTTGTTGATGGTAGTGGTAGTGTTTTTGGTTTTGCTTTTTTGAGATAGGGTCTCACTATATAGGACTGGCTGTACTCAGACTCGCTATATAGACCAGGTTGACCTCAAACTCAGAGATCCTCCTACTTCTGTCTCCTAAGTGCTGAAATTTAAGACATGCACCACCATGCCTGGCCTAACCTATATCATTTTAATAGCTACCAAGAAGAGACTTGCCAACTTAACTCCTTTTAAAATTTGTTTATTTTTAAGGACCATAACCTGATACTTAAATATGGTTGTTAAAACTTTAAACAACACCAAAGGAAAATGAGGTCTCCCTTAATATCACTACCCACTCACCTATGTCACCCTTGTCCCTGCCAGTAACCACTACGCAGAATCTGCTGTGTATGTTTTTCCAGAATTTGGTTGAATGGTTAGGGGTTTTTTTGCATATATGAGATAAACTCTAGGTAGTACTATGTAAGTTGGATCTTACATTAATAATTATGTCGGGGATCTTTCTAAGATAGTTTTATAGGTAAAAGGTACTCATTTTTATTAGTGAATATCGAAGCAAGAGTTATGAATTTGTACCACCAGTTTTATAAAGAACTTTCACATTCATATATTTTCTTTTATAACTTTCATAGGCTTGTTCCCTGGAAAAACCTTCTATTTTCAAGGTCTAAAAGTAGCCTTTCTGAAGGGATTTGGAGGTTAGCTTAGTTGGCAAAGTGCTTGCCATGAGAACCTGGGTTTGAGCCCCAGAACTTATATAAAAACAGGGTAGTATCCACTTGTAATCCCAGAACTGGGGAGGCTGAGATAAGATGGTCCCCAGGAATCACTTCCCTATTAGCCAACCCTATTGGGAAATTTTAGATCTCAATGAAAGATGCTATCTCAAAAAAGCCAAGATGGACAGCTCTTGAGGAATGATACCCATTCCACACACATACACTTGGATGTGCACACACCTCTGCACCTACATACACAAGAACATATACAAACATAGCTATTCTTTTGGGGTTGAGGATATATAGTTCAGTGGTACAGTGTTTTCCCAACATGTACAAGGCTCTGGGTTCAACCCTCCCACTTCCATTTTTTATTTTTCCATTCATAAAGTAATGATTTCATTTACCATTATGGAATATGCTCAAAAAATAGAAAAAATACTTTCTTATTAATTAGCTAGACATCTGGCATTGTTCTAAAAATGGGAGCTTCAAAATCGAGAAATACCATCTTCCCCAAATCACAATCTCTCAACCACTAGTTCCAAAACAATGCCATGGCAGCTTCTATGAAAGCATTTCATCAAGGTTCCTCAGCTTCACCCAGACCCACAGTTTCATTCTTTCACTAACAAGAAGAGGGGAGAGCGCCAGAGAGGAGGGGAGGGAAGGAGGAAGGGAGGGAAACAAAGAGGTGCTTGCCAAACAGACCTGCATTTGGCCTTGCTCATCAGCATATTCGACAGACTGGAAGATGGCGAGGGCATAATGCTGTCTTGCTCTCAGCCTCGCTCTGTACCGCCGGTACCAGGTTTGGATGACTAAGGCAGCTTGCATCGCTGCAGACCCACAGGATATGAAAGGCAGAGAAAAACAATCACATTAGCGCTTTGGGGGAAGCAGGTGTTTGAACCAAAGCAATCAAACAATTTCTTAGTCCTAAAAGATAGGAACATAAACAATGAGATTGACCTTTATGCTTTTTATAAAATGTTCTGAAGGCCCAAGCATTCAGAGAGCTCAGAGCACAATGATGTCATAACCATTAAGGGTAGGAGCTTTCAGGTAAGGTTGCCTGAACTCGAGGCTTCCTGACTGTTGGTCACTAGAAAAAGGAGTGTAGACTTGCAATGAATACATTCCATGGGGTATCTTGCCACCATTAGAAGGAACGGATTAAATAAACCCTGGGAAATATGAGAGCACTGGTTGGTTTTTGTCAACATGATAAAAACCTAGACATAGACAGGAGCAGGGAAACCTAACTGGGAAAAAAAATACCTCCATAGGATTGGCCCATAGCGTATTATCTTGATGAGTGATTGATGTGGGAGGGTTAAGCCCATTGTGGGTGGTGTCACCTCTGGGCAGGTAGGTGGCCCTAGAGGGTTTAAGAAAGCAAACTGAATATGCCAGGAGGAGCAAGCCGTTAATCGGCTCTACTCCATGCCCTTTCTATCAGTTCCTGCTTCCAGGTTCAATCTCGGTTTCCTCAAGAGTTCTTGTATTCACCAAGCACAGAGGTACTGTTCAACAAGGTTCACCAAATACTTAGGGAGTCCCTGCAGTCCTCCCAACACCATGAAGCTAAGAGAGGTGAAAGTACCCACTTAGCTCAGTTAGTCACTAAGTAGAAATGGACAGTGAGAATCTGCACCCAGATCTGACCCCAAGGCTCAAGCTTTTCACCTCCACACAGATGTTGACCTATTGCTATACATCAGTGTCCCCATTTATACGATGATAGAGCAGAAAGAATGAACACTGGAGTTTCATCTACTTAGAATTAACAATGTCAAATAATATAATGTTAATAATAGATACCTGAGCTGATTTCTGTTTAATAATAGAACAGTCTACTTTGAAACGTTCAGTGCCCACAAACATCATCATCTCCGTGCCGCATGTAAGGAAACTGAGTTCAGAGCAGCGAGTGTGTTGTTCGAAGGCACCTAGCATAGGCATCTGAGTCCAAACCCTGAGTTCTTTCCACTAGGGCCCGTTACTTTATTCCCTAACTCATTTGGCTCTTTCTTTTCACTGACTAATAACAAACACTGTAGAGTAAATGCCTACTAACTGCAGTAACTGGACACTACATATACCGCCCTTTCTGCTCCTTCCCAACACAAGAAGAAATGGGAGCTAACGTCCTTCTGTCTCTGCTTGGGCTCTGTGCAGGGCATGGTTGAAATTCTATCCCACATGGGAAGAGTCATTGTTTTCTCAGGTAAACAACTGCATTCATTGGGTTCTAGTCCAAGGCATGATGGAAAGACAGGGATGTGGAAGGGAAAGGAGCCTCTCATCCTGGTGTCTAGTGAAAGTCTTCAGACAGCTGTGAGTCAAATATTCCACAGGTATAGATGGTCAGAGAGATCCCAGAGGTCCCCCCAAATAATACAGTTATTACTCTTGTTTACCCACCAACACTAGATGGCAAGACCCTATTTCTGGAGACACAGTGTGCATTTGCTACATCACTCATGTGATTCAATTGGTAAATAAAGTTGGAAGTTTCCTCCCTGATGGCCAGCTAGTTTAGTACCAGAAGGGGCTATGTACAATTTGAGGGGAGAAAAGTCATCAATAATCTTAGCCAGCTGTGAACTCTGAAGGTTATAATACACTACCCCAGGCAAGAGTGGCATGACTGTTAAGGGGGTAACTAACCAGTTTCTGATGGGATTTGAGGTTCACTCCAAAAGAGGAAGGCCCTGCCTGGTATTATAAATCTGGCTGGTAGCTCATGGCCAAGGAGGTCATAGGCCCCAGGAGGAAATTTACTATTATTTGGCTAAATGGACATGATGCCAAACTGCCTTCTAAATATTTATGTTTATACCCATAGATTGGTGCTACCTTCAGTCTGGGTCAGAGAAATTCTGTGTGAGTGGGAAATGGATTAATGCAAAGATTCACAAGTAGTCAAAGTGCTGATAATAAGAGACTTTAAAAAGCAATTTTAAAATTATGTGTATGAGTGTTTTGCCTACATGTATGTATATGATGCATCACATGCATGCCTGGGGCCCACAGAGGTCAGAAGAGGGTGTTCGATCCCTGAAACTGGAGTTACAGATGGTTGTGGGCCATGATGTTGGTGCCTGGAACCAAATCTGGGTCCTCTGTAAGAACAGCAGGTGCTTGTAACTGCTGAGCCATCTCTCCATCCCCACAAGTGACTATTGTGTGTTCATCCCCAAGTGGCACATCTATATTACCCCCTCCAGAGCTAAGGAAGCATCGAGGAATAAGGAGTCAAAAGAATATAAGAGCCAGAGGATGGAGAAGAGCATCGTGAGATGCTGTCATTTGGACGTGACTGGATGTCACATCTAGTTACATCCATGAACTCACATCACTAGCGACTACCTGCACATGACTGGGCTCCTCAGCATTCCACCATGAGGAGCTACAGGCATTTAATGACTGATATGGGATGGGGAGGTCATATTCCTTTGTAGTATAGCCAGTGGTAAGTTGTCCACTCTAGTAAACCCGTGCTCATGCAAACAACCCTAATTAAATGTGTGACATCCCCCCAAAAGATAGAAAAGTAGGAAGGGGATTTGTAGGGGAAAAGAAGTTCAGTGCGGGGGGGATAAAAGAGAAAATGGGGAAATATGATCAAAATACATTTTATATGAATTAGATTATTAGAGAAACAAAAATGGTTAAAACAACAAAAAAGAAAAGAAAAATAAAGAAAGGAAGAAAGGAAGGAAGGAAAAAAGGAAGAAAGGAAGGAAGAAAGGAAGGAAGGAAGGAAGGAAGAAAGGAAGGAAGGAAGGAAGGAAGGAAGGAAGGAAGGAAGGAAGGAAGGAAGGAAGGATCATAGTATATTTGAGGTTGGAGGAATATACCTCAATTGCTTGTCATGCATAAAACCCTGGGTTCAATGCCCAGTACTACCTAAAACCAGGTGTGGTGGTTGCCATGTTTAATCCCAGCACTTAGAAAGCAGAGACAGCAGCAAAAGTTCAGTGGTCCTTGGCTACAAGGCAAGTTAAAGGGCAACCTGGACTGTATGGCACTCTGTCTTAACAACGAAAGAATTCCAGCTCAGTTCATATTTACTTTGACAGTTACCCACAGAGTGACATCATTTCTTTGATGTAGAGATGTTCTACAGAGAAGAGTACAACCCACGATGAGAACAGGGAGTATGAGGGGAGAGTACAGACCCATTCTACATGCTGCCTTGTGATTTGTGGCTGATTCCAAACGCCATGTTGGTTTCTACAGAACAATGATCATGCACCTAGGTTCTAGAATTTGAGATCTGCATTCTCTCTCACTGCCAAGCAGGGTAACCCCCAACAATTTATCTCTGAATCTCAGTTGCCTTATTTTGCAAACTATGGCTGATGACAATTCATAGGAAGGAGTAAATCAAGTCAAGTTCTCTACATCACAATGTCCGGCACAAAGCAAATGTTCCTGATTTGTCTTGCTCACCAACCTTTTACTTGATTTTTAAAAATTTCTTTCAAAATGCCACAATAATGATCATCACCAGAGATAAGAGTCTATTAAAAAAACAAACAAAGACAACTTGGCAATAAAAAAGCCATGCATGTTGGGGAGAAAAAATTGGATAGGTAGCTTAACTAAATCTATGTTGTTGCTTCCCAAGGGTTACATACGGCAGTAACTTTTTTTCTCCTCCTGCAGAGGATTAATAAGATCAGGAAGACAGACCTTCTTACACATTGACCTGAAGCAGCTCTAACCTGTCAAACAAGGAGAGAGCTAGACAACACAGATCTTCACCTCCTCGGGCTGGATGTATTGAAGCTCACAACCCCTCGGTTCTACCTGGCACTACTTTGGAATTTTCCCATCAAGAGGAGGGGCATCAGCTGGCTATGTTGCCCTGCAGCGCATAGGTAAACTCTCTGGCACCAAATAAGGTTTTAGGGGTCTGCTGTTGGTATGCCTAATCCTGTCTGTTGATATCCTAACCTCTCCCGGAGAGGTTCTGAGGAAGTTGAATGCTCAAAAAGATAACAGTAAGGTATGGGTCAAAACCCACTTTATTGGTCAACGGTGGCCCAAGTATTCAAAATACCAGGGTAGAACTCTAATAGGGCCTGAGTTGGAGGATCCAGGAAGTCGGAAGCATGATATCTAAGCATGTCCTATTTTTCTTACTCCACTGAGCCCAGGCCCCACCAAATGTCCTCCAATTCCATTCATCTCTCCCCACACTTTCCCGCCGTTCCTCTTCTGCCACTTAATTGCTCCTGTTCCCATTCCCACCTGCCCCCAGTCCACTAGCAAAATCTCCTCCATTTCCCCTTCCTAAGGAGATCCACGTGTTCCCCTTGGAGCCTTCCTTGTTACTTAGCCTCTCTGGGTCTGTGGATTGTAGCATGGCTATCCTTTACTTTACAGCTAACATCCACTTATAAGTGAGTACATACCATGTTTTCCTTTCTGGGTACCATGTTTTCCTTTCTGGGTCTGGGTTACCTCATTCATTCATTCATTAAAAAAAATATAACAAAATAAAATATAGTAAGATAAAATAAAAGCTACCTACCACATTGAAGTTGAACAAGACAAACCAACAAAAGGAAAAGAGCTCAAGAATCAGAGGCTCCCCCTTTGTATATGTGCTTCTCTTTATGCTGACTAGTAGAGATGTCTTATCTTGTTTGGCTCTTGTTTTTTAATCAAGAGCTTCCTTGGCAGGCAATTCCTTAAAACAGAAGTTTTGTATGTGGAATGATAAGGCATTCAGACTCTGCTTTTGAGATTCCGCTGGCAGAGGCTTTCTGAGGAAGCAGTAGGAGGAGCAAACTGTTAATGTCTCTTTAAGGAGCCTGGCAGC